CTAGAATCATGTCAAAAACAATCAGTTAATATTAAATATCATAAATCACCACAAAATGAACATACAACCATTTATTATTATCAGATTTCAAACAAAACACCATTATTCTTGTCTGTCTATGTGAAAAAATCAAACAAAACAACACCTTCCATCAATATTTGAACTTTATCAAAACTTTGTTATTATTTTTCTTCTCACTTTCATTATTCTTCTCTCCCATTGAGGACTTTTCTCTCTCCTCTAAACCAAGGTCTGATTTAATTTTTTTAAGGATATATCTATAGTTTTGTATGCTATATTGCGCAGGATATCAAGTAATCTTCACAGATCAATAAAAGACCCAACAAAACTTTGACCTCTATCAGGGACTGCGGAGCAGGGGGGGCTGGGGGGCTACAGCCCCCCCAATAATATTTCCAACATTTTCAGGAATTTTCTTAAATAAAGAAGCGAAGAGCCTCCTTATGAATTCTTTGGGATTTTATTGATAATATTGCTGACCGCGTCTGCGGTACATATGTCTTGGATAACGCCTCAAAACGCTGGAAATGGCATTTCCGAGAGTTAAGATTTCAGAAATTTTCGACCCCCCTAGTACCTCCTCGCCGCTAGCCCCCCCAAACAAGATCCCGCTCCGCGGTCCCTGTCTATGACTTGTAGTAAATTTGAGTACATGTATTAAGTAAACATATCATTGTACAAGGTGGCTATGAGAAACAGAAAGGAATTTTGTATGTTAAACTTACCACATTATAGAGCTCAACCACACTAACTACACTATCATCATCCAAGACTTCACCATTGATTCTTGGTATTAAATCAAGACCCATTTTGCTGTTTTATGGAATGAAATAGAATCATAATATCACTGATTTATATCATTGATTTGACTGTTTATTAGTGCTTGCCTAATTCCAGTATTGGTTGATTGATTAGTTGATTGATCAGTTGATTGATTGATTGATTGATTGATTGGTTAGTTGATTGATTGATTGATTAGTTTTTTGATTGATTGATTACTAGTAGTTGATTGATTGGTTAGTTAATTGATTAGTTGATTGTTTGATTAGTTGATTGATTGCTCGATTGATTGATTAGTTGATTGATTGATTTAGTTGATTGATTATTTGATTAATTAGTTAGTTAATTGATTGGTTGGTTGATTAGTTGATTGAATGATTGATTGATCAAGTGACTGACTGATTGATTGGCAAGTTTATAAATGAACAAATTAATGACAAAATTTCCAAATTGATTAAATAATTCATTGAATGAATGAACAAATATAGGTTGATTCTATTGTTTAATTAAGAGACAATTGATAGACTTGGTAAACAAATTAATTGGATATCAATAATTATTTGTAATTATCATTAAGTTAAAAAAGTAGCATACCTGTTTGCCCAATCAATGTCAATGATAGCTTTTTGCTTGGTTTCAAAAGCCTGGTCCTAAATCAGATAATCAAACTAAAATTACTGTACTATTAAGAATAAACTATTTAACTCTAAACTACGTTAGCATCATTCACATGAAGCAATCATTTCAAAGAGTTCTAAATTAATAGCATATAGACATACCTTTGTAAGTGTACCATTCAAAAGTTGTTGTCTAAATTCTATCAAATCTTTCATGATCTTTGTCAGTGCAACAAATAGCTGCATTTCCTTTTTCTACAAAAAGTGAATGTTTGAGAGTTATTTTTCATAAATTCAAGCAAAATAATAATCATTTTCATCCAGTTATGCAACAGCCTGCTTGAAAACCTGTTATTGATATTTGAAATTATTTCATCAAGATAAAAAATCAAAATTGTGAATATAAAGAAAAAAATTGTCACTTTTAAGAGTACATTTTGTGAATTAAACCAGCACCTGATGTTCAATTTAAATGCACATAAAGTGACAGTTTTGTCACTTTTTTTTGTCAGTTTTTTAACTTCACCAATTATAGTACAGGTTTTTTTTATTGTAACTATTCCCATTTTACCCACCCCTCCCTGCTTGCTTGTTTTACATAATGTATGTTTCTCTATACTGATCTGTCAACAATAGCTATATGATTGGGTAAATAAATTAATCATGAGTAATAATAGATATCGATGAATATATTCTGGAAACCTACCAAATATAACCGTTTCCATATGATTGACCACTCCCTCAACACTGATGTCAATTCTTTGACTGTCACATCCTCTTTGGGTATGATTGCCTCAAACTGGGTGCTAAGGACGTCAATAATATTTTGTGATATTCTTACATAAAGAGAGGCCCACTCTCATCACTTGAGTGAGAAAGTGTTTTGAGTCTGATATATTGGCACTGGTACCAAATGTAATAGGTATTTATATGCACAAGAGAGGGATCCATGTATTTTTAATCAAGTTGCAAGAAGGCGATTGACTGCAAAGTCGCACAAGTGATGCTTTAAATTTACACCAATTTCTCATTTCAAGACCTTACCTGCCAAGAAGAGGGGGTTCAAGAAGCCCATGGACCGCTCTGCGCATGTCCTTGAACATTATTGTTTTTGTGCATTGAATTGAAATATTCTGCCAATAGCTTTTGACTTGTTAGGGTTAGGGTTCTTTTATGGAAACATGATAAAACATTTGGCTTTACTGTAACTCTTGTGATAAGTATAGTGCAGTAGAGCCTTGTCACATTAAGGTTCCTTATATTTTTATAAACTCACCCTGCATGTTCAACTTCGCACTCCTTTATGAAAATGTAAGATGCTGGAAATATTCCCTAAAACCAACAGAAAATCACACTTTAATCAATTGATCGAAACAGAGTGAGTAGGATAATCAAATCGCATTCATCCAAACTGTTTAACAACCATGAAATATTTTGTTCATGTACATTAGGTGAACTTGTAATCCCATTTAGAAAAGTACATAGTAGCTGATCATCAGAAATACTGAAGTTGTACAAAGTAGGTGGGTGTGGCAATATAAGATTTTTACCTCTAAAAGATACCCCTTCAAAATTTTTGAGCACTTTTAATAGTTTTAGAGACGTGAACTTCACTTTCTGCTTGAAAGATTTAGCAAGCCTACTGTTGTCATTCTTATAGTCTACAGATACCCTTAAAGATACATGTAGTTCCAGCAATGATTTTGATACCCAGAAAATTATGAGACACCAAGTTCCCTGATTTTCACCCGGGCTAAAAAGATACAACAGYCATGCCCACCTAATGACATTAAGTACCCCCTCTACCTATTGTAATCTTGGATGATAATAGTGACAAGTAATGTAGAAAACAAATAGAGCATACAAAAAGGTAACATAAACAAGAGAAGAACATAAAATTAAGAAAAAAACTGGAAAATACAAAACAAAAGTAAAAAATATGCAAATAAAACCTCTTCATGGCGATATATTTTGTAAGCTATAATTAGACATATTGTTAATTATTGTTATATTAATCATTGTAACTTTGATGGATTAACCCTTCAAAGATCAAAATAACTATAAATCTTTTCAAAGCGATTCCCAGTGGCGAGGTCATGAAAAACCGCTTTGCACCACAGTCCATCACTATGAATTATTCACAAAAGGTCGCTAATATTGTTATTATTTTGTGGAAATTGATATTGAAACTGACCAAATTTTGCTTTCAAGATGTTTCCTTTTATCTAGGTGTTATGCAAAACTCATGAATTTTACTTCAATATTGAGAATTCTTAAGCAAAAAACTAACCGATTGTCGTTTGCATTTGTGCATAGCTTTATCGCATACGATCTTTTAGCTTTATGACCTGTCTCGATGTGAGAAGGTGTGATATTTTTACAGAGAACTGGCTTTGCTTCCCGCCTTAATGTTAAATGAAACACTCACTTTTTGAGCCTTGTTTCTGAGAAGGCACCCATGATACCAGCCTGCAAATACAACAGTGTATTTATGTTATTATTCGATAAGTAATTACCAATGTAAGCAGCAATAAATTTCAATTGATGCCACCACTTAACGCTGAATATCTAAGCGATTTCTATACAGGTCATTCAAAATAAACAAAAAATAACGCGACATGAAACATCGTCAAGTCTCCTTTAATGTTTTGATTGAAATAATAGTATAGAAAACTTTTAGTTGAGGCATGTTAATATGCAATGAAGTCGTTAAAATGTCTAAGAATCCTATTACGAATAGTAGAAGCTTAATACCTGAACATTCTTCGTAAATCTGTACGGAATCCCCAATAACAAGCTGAAGGCCATGTTCAACCTTGCCATGAAAATTATAAATAGCTGCAAAGGAAACCAAACCCTGAGTAAATACCTTCATCGGTATTTATCAATGACCACTAGTTARCCAATTTAGATCAACGATAACAAGTTTCCATAATTCCGAGCCATTTGGTACCAATCTTCGAAGCGAGGCGCGCGAACAGTCGTTTTGACATACCAACTCCATATTTTTCTTTTTCTGTTGGATTCCAACAGCTCATATTGTCATGCTTCATGTCAGCTTTCAGTCATAGTTAAGTTAAACAGAAAGTGGAACCACAGCACTTTGTTTAACGAGCTGCCGTGAAGTGCAGCATAATGAGCTTCCTCCTCCTCGAACCGCCATGTTTGTTTGTCGCTTTAAGCCTCGTTATCAAGGTGATAAATAACTCCTCAGGGGTAGGGTACAAAGTAGTTGAAGTTCTCAACTGTTGCAAAACTCAATATTGTTAAAATCACCTTGACTTAAATGACTGGAATTATCAGGAGCCCATTACATATTTCGACGGATTATTTTCGCATCCAATTAAACATTTTTATTAATTATTTGTTATTATTTCTGAAGTTGCCTATTTGTTGAATTTAGAAACAATTGCTGGATTTATATTGTATAGGTTCTTTCTTTAGGATATTTTCCTTAAATAAAAAGCTTTGTTTCGAAAAATTATAATTTTATTTAAACAATTTATACAAGATTTTTTAAGTTTTCAGATTTTCACCTTCGTATCCAGTCCCTCTCCCATGACGTCATTTTTAGAGCGCCAAGGGTCGAAGCAAGGAACTTCGTAGTAATGGCGAGTTCTTTGGAAGGTAGTGCTTGCCAAAATGCAAGCAGGCCGCTACTAAAAGGCAAATTGTCGTCCGATGAAAAGACAGATATGGAGCATGTAAAGAAGAAAAGAAAACACAGTCACGATTTGCAGCATGTGAAGCATGAACGACCAGAAAATCAAGGACAAAATGGAGATCGCTGGAACATAACGACAAACAACGGTTCCCGCTCACCGTCTCCAAACAAACATGGCAATGGCCTTAAGACCAAGCTAAAAAAGATCAAAATAGAAGGTCAGTTTTCTCTCACAACTTAATCATTGTGATGTAGTTTCCCTGAAGTTTTTGTGCTCAAATCCCTTGCTATTGTGTTTGTCATGTGTTTTGTAATAAAGTCGTATGTTGTCATGTTATTTCCTCAGGTATTTCACCGCATTTCGCAATCTAAGACAGCAGTTTTTCATTAAAATAGATATATGTGCAAACATTGTATATCTATACTTAAAAATCATATGTTTTAAGTACATTTGCCAGCGGTAAATTCGTCAACAGTTGAAAATCATTAAACTTTACGTACAAGATTTCATACGTTACTAGTGGGATGGTTTGAAATTTGAATTCATACAAATTGGCCAAAACAATTCATCTATTTCAATGAATGGAGAGAATTATTTACTTATCGACAATGTACGTATTAAAGTGAGAAATATTTCTAAGGATTGCACGTTAAATTTAAATATAGTACAGCGTATTGTGGTTGAATTTCTGCACGTGTTGTCAAGTCAAAAATTGTGCAGCATTGCACGTCTTATGAAAAAGTCGAATTTCTAATAATTAACGTATTGAAACTCTACTTACAACAAACGTATAGAGTTTTGCCTTATTGAAGAGTTCCTTGAAAATTGTGTTTTTTTTCTTGAATGTATTCTGGCCTTGCAAGGGGTTATACATGTAATGACAACAGTTCAGACATACTTGTGGCATAAGTTAACATGTATCTTTAGCTTATAACTGTACCAATTTTTATACCAATTTCCTTTAAATCCTTAACCTTGTTACATCTCGATGGCTGAAAACTGAACCTAGATTCATTTATGATGTTATAATAAGCAAGGGAATGAAAAATGTTAGATTTTTTTTCTTAATTTATTTGTTTATATATTTAATTATTATTTTCCTAGTGATTTCAATTTTTGGCTGTAGTTTTCATTTTGAGCTGTATTGGCTTCAACTTTCAGCTTCACATTCTTACAYAAATTTTATATTCTAAATTTGTGTTTACGTGTTACTTTGGTTTCTGTTTTCTGCAAACTCTAGCTCTCTTGAACACTAAACTGCAAGAACTTGCCAATGAAYATGGCTTGATGCAATATTTAACATGTATATACATCATACATATCATAACAACTGATCATTTACATAACTAGATAGTCATGGAGGATTTCGCATTATAACAATACATGGTGATAGACATTGAGGAAAATACAAACTGTCAACAGTAAGCAGTGAACTTGCTTGCTGTTTTTGCTGCATCTTTCTGACTACCAAAGTACAATCAGTGACTATAGTCACTTATCATACAGCTTAAGTAGGGTACTCTTCATTTACTGTGCTAAGGACTTCAACAATGGCAAACCCACCTAGCAGAACAAAAAACGATAAAATTTCAGTATAACTTTATGTGTATAAAGTGAGGTTTGCCCATCAGAGCACATATAATACTCAATTTCATTTGATAAATTTTGAAATTAGTTCAGTGAAGTTTTGTACTGTACAATGTTCAGTACATATTTAATAATGCTGCCTTCCTGTGGTAAAATGCTTACATGTAAAGTTAGGACAGCTTTTGGTTATGATGTCGTTAGTGCCTTTTTCTCTCGTCTTCACGGTGCTTAGGAAAGAGTCAACTGTGTATTTGTCTCCATAATTATTTATTTATCACTGGTTTTCACGCATTGATATTCAAAATACTAAGGATAGGCAGCCATGGATGTTGTTGGTACAAACAATCAACACCACTGTACTAAAGCAAATGGTTCTTGAACATTTTCCGAGAATTGTTTGAAGGTGTATTTTATGTATTTGCCAACTCTTATAAAAAATCTTTTGTTGAGCTACCACAAACAGGGCTTTGACAGAGACTCTGAAAAGCTGCAAATATCAATATCTAATTACTTATTTYACTCACAGAACACAACATGGCTGCAGATTTGTCCTCACCAAAGGTTATCTCTCACAGTGATTTAAAATTAAAGATAAAGAAGAATGCAGGTATTACAGTACTTCACTTTGTAATAAACATTTACCTTTATATAATATACTGTATTTTTAGTCTTAATCAGTGCAGTYATTTGCAAACATATAATTGTTCTGGGTACATCACGTGGTAATTTCAAGTGATTTTCTCTCTTTCTGAAAGCATATCATTTGAATGAATACTTGATCAAATTATTTTTGTCAAAGGGTCATTCAAGCATGAACTGCAGATGAAATGGCATATTAAATGCTTTACGTCTCACTTGTATCATGCGCCATATTGGAATTTGTCATGTGATCTTGTAAGGCACAGGGTGACCAGTAATGCTAGTGCCCAGACTCTTATCCTAATGGTACATTTGTGACGCCCACGAAAACAAAACTAAATTCGGAAAATTATAAGCATGTTTGGAAGCGTTTTTTGATTAAAAAAAAGCAGTCAATGGACCACAAAAAACATTAGTAGAAGGCAATTCATCTTGGTATAACATGGAAAAAAAATCAGGATTATGCACGATTTGGTAAATTATGCAGAAATGCGCTGCCGCATCCGCACATAATTCCGACATGCCTGCAAAAATAATAAACAATTTTAAAACAATTGCAAACTGGAAGTCATTAAAATTCAGAGCAATTAGTTCAGGTTGAGTAACTTTTCTTTTTTTCTCTTTTTACACCAAGGTGTAGAAAACMGCAGTACTGAACTCAAATCAGAGTTACCTCTTCACAAATCACTTGGAGTGAATGGTGACACTAAAAAGAAAAAACACAAGAAACATCATCATCGACACGAAGAGAAGCATTTCCACAACATAGACCACTACATCTTAGATAATCCCAAGGAGAAGACAAGACTTTCTCATTTAATTCATATAGAAGAAGATCCTAATGGCGGGGCTACTGTTATGCATGTTTATCAAGAAGAAATTGCMAACTTAAGTGCTGAAAAAATGGAGAAATTTGTCAAGTTGTTTTTCAGAGAAGCRTATAGTGAAGACAATCAGGGTCAACCAAAGCATGTTATGAGCATAGTTCATGGAGCAGCCACTTATATCCCTGAACTTACTGAATACTTTGGAACAAAACACCCTAACATGACAATAAAAACWTCACCAATTGGTAAAAAACTTGACATTGAAACCATCAAAATGGGAGACTATTTAAACAGAGTRCAGGCTACGTACAGTTCTGGAACTCTAAGGTGCGGACCGTTATTACAGTTCAGTGTAGTGGGTACAGTACAAGAGGAAACTGGAGCATATTTTCCTGATTTTCTGGACTTGTTAGAACAGTGTCCTTTTCTTAATGAGACAATGCCTTGGGGAAGACTTTCAATTGTTAACCTTGAAGAAAGGAACAAAAGTAATGACGGACCCATTGTGTGGGTAAGACCAGGTGAACAATACATCCCTACTGCAGATTTATCAAGTTCTCCCAACAAAAGAAGAAGGTAAGACTAATAGAACGTACACCACAAAAGTGTGAAACAATCTGTTAACTACGTACACCTACTTGCAGAAACGTTGTCATAGAAAATAGAACATTCGAATTTAGTAAAAAGGAATAAATTAAAACGAGACAAAAGAAAGTGTTCAGCCTCAGTGATCTTCTTTTGTCTTTTTAATTTATTCCTTTTTACTAAAATACAAATGTCCTATTTTTTATGACAACGTTTTCGTAAGTAGGTGTACATGTATATTGATGTTGATAGTATCTGCATTTTTGTAGTTAGGATCTAATCAGTCATTGACAAACTAAGAATTCATTGAGACATAAACACAATGACAAAGGAATTCAACGATRCCTTTTATTTTCATTGAACTT